CCCAGTTCCTGCTGAACGTTATGAATTGTATGAAAAATGTCTACCCGTGGAATGTACGTTTTGTGGCACGCTCTAGCCCTAATGATTAGAGGCCCTTTTGACCTCTATTCAACTTTCAGCTATAAATTCCATTCAAAAGGGAGGAGGGAACACAGGAGAAACAACATGGCTGAGACCTAACAAGATGGCTGTCATGTACAGCATCCATGTCCGTATTGCACACAATCGTCACCCGACATATTCCGCAGTGATTGGATTAAGGTGACTCTGACATTTGTGTGGCTTTAAATGCTGGACTATGTTTATGACACTCACTAGAGCTGAAGAAGTGGTTAGGATACTGTATGCTGTGAAATGTCTTCAACATTACAGAACAAGTTCAGTTGAATGTGAACAATTACTACTAACTATACCATAATATGGATAAATTAGAACCTACACAAACATTTCATTCAAATTCACTGTTCAGTTCCATTACATTGTAGGCCTAGGATGTAGATGGGGCCCAAATGAAAAGGCAGCAAGGTTGGTATTCTGCATAAGGTATGGGCAGCACAGTGGCTAAATGGTTAGCACTTCCGCCTGTCAGTACTAAGGTCGTTGGTTCAGATCCCAACCACGGCACCACCTGCTTATAGTTTGCATGTTCTCCCTGTGCCTGCATAGGTTTCCTCTGAGTACTCCAGTTTCCCTACTACACTCCAAAGACATGCTGGTAGGTTAATTGGTTCCTGTCTAAATTGGTCCTACTATAGGAATCTATGAATGTAAGTTAGGGACCTTAGATTGTACACCCCTTCAGGGTTAGGGACTGATGTGAATATACAATAAATATGTAAAGCGCTGCGTAAATTGACAACGCTATATAAGTACCTGTAATAAAATTAATAAGACAGAATGACAGTGGAGTAAAATTTTTTTTTTCTCTTGCGTTCATTGACTGACACAGCTCTTCTGAATGTTGACCATAGGGTTTATATCACCACCTACAGGAGTAGCACACTAGGCAAAAAAAAACAAAAACTAGCACCTCCTATTGGAAATTTTAGCTGGTATTAAACCCCTTCTCTGCTATAGGCAATCCAGATATTTCTGCCTAGTGTTCAGGAGTAAGGAACTAGCTCTGTGCTGGGACCTGTTGTTCCATAGCTTTTCTTTTTTTTTTTTCTTCTTGGGATTTTTTCCAGTGGAGAGCTTCAAACAACAGCCGGGCTGGATAATCTAGATCCAGTGGTCACCCCAGTCTGGCCAATGACAATGAATATGCGCAGACCGCTAGCTCAGCACTTGGCTGCAATAATGCCCCATCCTGGACAAGAGTAGGTGAAATAAATTGGTGGTTTTTGGATTCCCCTACTTAAATGATTAATATGTACTAACTAGTCTTTTCCTATATTTAGCTAGTCTATCAGAGCTCTGATATTAGTAGCTATAAAATAAAACACAATGCTCAAAGAAGAAAAGGTCTTGTTTATAAACAAAAAAAGTAGAACGCTAACATAGAAATCTAAAAGAATATAGAGCAATGGAAATAAAAGAGCAGAGATTATATGTTACACAAGTCCATCCTGTGTGTCCTGAATCATGGCTGGGTTCAAGGAAGATAGAGAGAAAAACATGGCTGGGCCTTGCATCTTAAAGCACTCAAACACCACCCATTTGATGCCCCCTGCCTGGTCTATATAGTCCTCTGTCCAATGAGTCACAATCCATAACTGTTAAGGGGCTGTCTTAGAATTACCAGGAAGTATGGTACTGTCCTCCACCAACCTTCCAGGATCAGGATTCTGGTATGCAATCTTTTGTTATACACACCTTGTTCTATAATCTTGTTTTCCTGACATTCCAAGGTGATGTCTAACAGGCCCTTTGTTAACCAGGCAGTAAAAATCCATTAATGTCTGATATAAAAATATTTTGCCTTCCAACAGCAGGCCACTGTTTTAAATGCTTCACAGGGATACTTATGACCAGGAGCCTATTGTCTGTGTAAGTGTTTCCCTGGCCCACAGGCCCCCCCCACGTCGGTGGAGAGGAGGCTCTATCCTTTGAGTGTTGCCTGCAACTTCTGTGGATGAGTAAGTATATGCAGTAGTAGTAAGTAGGTGGTTGGTCCCTATAGGATTCTCCTCCTTCCCACCTGGTCTAAGTAGGCTCCAGGCCCCCTCTCCCTAGGATGCAGGGCTCGCCTACCTGCAACGTGCCTCCACCTGTCCTGCTTGGGTCCCCTGAAGGAAGTGTGTCCTCTTAGCTTGCCTGAGGGCATCAACTGGTGCCCGGGTGAAATCTGTGTTCAATACCCCCCCCCCCACCCCCTTCCCCAGTGGGTGCAGGACTAGCTGTTGCGGGAGATGTGCAGGACATTCCTGAACCCTCGATGTGGTGTATGTCACTCACTATTGTGGCTTTGAATGCTCTGGGCTGCCTCCTGGCGTTACCGCTGGGCCTCCTTGCAGGTGGGCACACCATGTGGTCATGGTAGCCTTCACTTTAGGCTGCAGCTTTGTGGCCTGCTGGATGGGCTGTGGCGTTTTGCTATCTTGCCTATGGGCATTGCCCTTACGTTCTGTCTTTTTTGCCTGCAAGCCTGGTGCGGGGCCATGGTAGGCATATCCTCACAGTGCCCTCATGTTAAATTTTGGGTTCCTGCCTTGCTTCTTTGTTCAGCTAATGGCAGAGGCATCCATTTACATAGGCTGTAGCCAGCGGCCATGTTTTTGTAGCCCGATCCGGCTGCTATCATTGCAGGTTTGTGCCCCTGCTGCTGTATCCTATTGTCCCACTTGCAGCAGCTTCTTCTCCTATGCTCTATACCAAGTTTTCAAGCCGTGAACCTCCCTGATTCTGATGGGTATGTCTGCAAACTGATTGTGTCTGGCTACATGGTAGCATGGCATCCTTCTCCAGAGAAATTCTTTCTTCCGCCATAGTGCCTCATGCAGGACCTCTTTCGCTAGGGGGTAATTGTCAGGATTTGCGAGCTAGTATAGTTCAGAGGGTTTGTGCTCCATGCTGTTCACGAGCCCGACAATGGATAGGGTTCCTCTGATACGCAATCTAAGAGATCTGCCTTGCTTCATGCTGGTTCAGAGGTGCAAGCTGGAATCCATCCATTGGTGGTGGCCTCTTTCTTAGGGGGAGTTCTGGCATCCATGAAGGTGAGGATACAAATCTGCATGTTTCCTTTTGTGCTGCTGGCATCGTGGGACTAGTATCTTCTCTTTTATGCTACCCTCATCTTTGGCTGCTCCCTCATTCTGCTTCACGGGATTGCAGGATGTGAGACCAAAGGGATTCTGGTCATCCTAGTGGCTCCAGACTGGTCTGTGGTTGATCAACATGTGCAGCTAGTCACCAATGCTCCCTGATCGTCGTCTCTTTGGGCGGACCACCCTTCCCAGGGACTGGTCTGCCAATCTGTGTTACTGCCTAAGGCTGGATGGCATAGCTATTGAAAGCCAGCCTTTGGGTGATGGGGCTTGTCAGTTTGGGTTTCTCTTTTAATGTCATAGGCTCACGAGTTTACCTCTCAGAGAATTTGTCATCACTTCTGGAAGGTGAAGATGTGCCGGCTGCAATGTTCTGGGTCTCTGTCCATATCTCACCTTGGGGATTGGCCATGTTTCTGATGAGCATGGGACAAGCATGTTGCCTTGAGTGATGCAGGGTGGGGTTTCTACCTTGACTACTCTTCCTTCTTCTTTTTTTTTTTTTTTTTTTTTTTTTTTTTTTTTTTTTTTTTTAGCGTCCCATGGCCACGCACTCTTTTTTTTCTCAGGTGTCTTCTTCTGGTGCCCCTATACACTCCCTTTTACCACTGGGGGACTTGTGTTTCGGTTCTTTCATTTTTCTGGAAGCTTATTATAGATATTCCCCTTCTTACTCTAGATTAGCTCAAATTGTTTAAAATTTGTATTTTTAATAAACCTGTAAAGGTTTGAATCCTTATTACCTCACAGTTCCCTCATCTACACTCCCAGCTGACACCACTAACTGTGGAAAGGAGTTCAAACATTTTTACTGCTGTAACCGTAAAAAAAAAACCCATACGCAATTGAAAATTGAACCGCTTCTGAATTTTAGTAGTCATTCCTCATAACTGAGGTCTTGCAGCCCCATATTTGATTCATTGCTCTTCTATGGACTTTCTCTTGTTCAAGGACATCTTTCCTGAAGATTGGTGACCAGACTGCATACCCAAGATGTGGCTGAACCAGATTTCAAGAATTATAGTTTTATATCCTAAATAACCTTTTATAATTCACAATAATACTATGTTACCTGTGCTTGCTGTAGCTTGATATTGCACATTGCTGAGTCTGTGATCTACAAGGACCTCCAGATCCTTTTCCATCCTGGAATCCCCCAAAGGTTCTCCCCCCTAGTGAGTAATTTTACATGCATATTTTTTTTATCTCCCAAGCTTATTACATTGCATTTTTTTTAAATATTAAACCTCATCTGCCATATATCTGCCCATCCCTTTCATTTTAACAAGGTCCTCTTGTTCTGGTTCTGGTGATTTATTCACCATTACTTTTTTCTAGTATTTTCTTTTACACAGGTATCTGTCAGCCACAAGATTCCATTCAATATAATAATATTAACATTACAGTCTATTTTATTATACCCCTCTTTTCGTTCACACAAACTGAGGAGAAGGATGTATTTGATACAGTTGCTTTTATCAACTTCGCCTTCCCTTAAAATTAGGTGATATATTAAGTTTGATATATTTTCTGCTACAGTTAACATTTTTGTATATACGTAGCCAAAAGTCTGTTAACATAAGTCTAGTGACATGGGTCTCTTTTTTACACAAAAATTGTGTATGCTCTTTAAATACAAGTATGTATGTTCTTTAGTGTTGCAAGTGTTGGTTGGATTGTTTTGTAACATCGGTTCTTTTGAATGTTACAACCTGTAGAATTGAAATGAATATTTTTACAAACTTCTGTGATTCTTACTTTTTGTTTCTCTGTAGGCTCTTGCTGTGAGACATGGATCGATGTAAACACGTGGGACGCTTGCGCTTAGCCCAAGACCACTCAATATTAAATCCACAGAAATGGCGCTGTGTGGATTGTGATACCAGAGAATCCATATGGGCCTGTCTCAAGTGTTCCCATGTGGCCTGCGGACGCTACATTGAGGAGCATGCGTTGCGCCACTTCCAAGAGAGCAGACACCCTTTGGTTATGGAGGTGCATGAGCTTTATGTCTTCTGCTATTTGTGCCAGGACTATGTTTTAAATGATAACCCAGAGGGTGACCTAAAGCTACTGAGAAGTGCGCTGTCTGCTGTACGAAGTCAAAAGCTGGAAACATCCAGCCGCAGAAGTTTACGTTCACAAACTATAGCTATTGAGAGGTCTGATGGCCTTAAGTCACAAGGGCAACCATTGATGCTCACAGCACTGCGGCATCGACGCCATACGCTGCTAGCAAAAGCGCTCAGGCAATGGTTTGAAAAAAGTTCAAGGGGCCAGCTTAAATTGGAGGAAAAGAGACAGAAAGCTGAGCTGGAGAGAAAGAAAGAAGAAGCTAGGTTAAAGCGTCAAGAGGTGAAACGGCGTCTTCTTGAAGAGCTAGCAAACACCCCTCCAAGGAAAAGTGCCCGTCTGTTATCACACACACACAGGGACAGCCTTATTCCCCGCAAATTCAGGGACATGACAACCAGCAGCCCGGCTTCAAGAAAAGAGGCTCAAAGGCGCTTTAATCAGCTATACTCTATACGGCCCAATGTGACCCCAGGAGTTACAGGACTTCGCAATCTCGGAAACACCTGTTACATGAACTCCATACTACAGGTACTGAGTCACCTACAGAAGTTCAGGGAATGCTTCCTTACCTTGGATCCCTGTGAGAAAGAGGAACTTCTAGGAAAAGGCACCAATGGCAAGCACCGTATGGGTGATAGTGGTGCACAGTGCCCATCTGGGGGCCTTAAGCTGAATGGGGGGTCATCACTTAAGAAGAGCTTGGAGCTAATTCAAACCAAGGAACCCAGCACCAAGCAGCTCTCTCTTTGCCATGAACTGCACACCCTCTTTCGAGTTATGTGGTCAGGGAAATGGGCGCTGGTTTCGCCCTTTGCCATGCTGCACTCTGTTTGGAACCTAATTCCAGCCTTTAGGGGATATGACCAGCAAGATGCTCAGGAGTTCTTATGTGAGCTTCTTGATAAAGTGCAACAAGAACTGGAGTCTGAGGGCAGCAAACACAGAATACTTATCCCCATTTCCCAGCGGAAGCTCACCAAACAGGTGTTAAAGGTAGTGAACACAATATTCCATGGACAACTGCTCAGTCAGGTGAGAACACCTTTCTTAGTTACTGTTCTTTTTATACTTCCCACCTGTGCACTTTTTTTTTTCTTACTTTTTAGCAAACCGCATTTTGCTTTCCAGAATAGACCCTTGCAACTACATGAATGTATGTCTTCTATTTTTTTCACAGGTTACGTGTCTCACATGCAGTTATAAGTCTGATACAGTTGAACCGTTCTGGGATTTGTCACTGGAATTTCCTGAGCGTTATCACTGCCTAGAAAAGGGGATTGCTCCAGTCACTACTACTGAGTGCACTCTTACCGAAATGTTATCCAAGTTTACAGAAACTGAGGCCTTGGAAGGAAGAATTTATGCTTGTGACCAGTGTAATAGTGAGTGGTATTATCTGTCACAGCTTCAATAGAAAAGTTTTCTTTGTCTCTCTAATTGGCATAATGTGTGATATTCTCAAATGAGGACCCTGAACACGAGGCAGTACTGTCCTATTACTATGAACTTTTCATTTTATATGAATTTAAATTTTTGAACATAGGTAATATAGAGATAAAACAAAGTAATAGAGACGTGCTCCCAATATATGACAACTGAAAAAGCCAGATTCATCAATGGGTCAAAAGCAGTGCCAACTAAAGATTGCTATTATTTCCTAAACGGTTAGGTTTAAATAGCTTTACTATTTTCTCATTTTGAAAACATTGTTACTATACCCATAGTCAAGTATCTGCTTGCTTTTCTAAATAATGAAATGCTGAAAAAAAAAAAAAACGTTTGCGTTGTTCTCTGGTTTACCTGTGCAGTTGTAGCAGCTGGATAGCTAACTCAAATTTCTTTCAGGTCGGAGACGAAAGTCATCCCCAAAGCCCCTTGTGCTCAGCGAGGCAAAGAAACAACTTATGATATTCAGACTACCTCAGGTTCTGCGGCTGCATCTTAAGCGTTTCAGGTAAGAATAGTGATTTTATTTTTATTTATTTTTTTTAATCACTAATTGCTAGTTTTTTTTATTTTAGTGCATGCAACGTGATGTAGAGATGAACACAGGTTTAGACTTGATATAGCTAATTCAGAGGGCCCTGGGTATACAGATATAATCTTCAGGTTTCCATACTGAAGTCTGGCCCATTCTTTCAAACCTTCTGTAGCAACAGTTGAGGGCCACAGCAGTCCAAAGCTCATGATAGGGGGAAAAAAAGCATATGTAGAAGTGGACAAATGTGTTGGTACCTTTACAGCTTGTTGAAGCATTACTTCATTTCTCCTGAAAAGTGATGCCATTAAAAACAATATTCTTATGTATACCAGCATTCCTTTGGTATGTCCTAAAGAAAGTGAAAGAATGTCCTAAGCTTAAAAACTTTTCGGACATGGTCGAACAAAAAAATAAAAGTCCTTACAGCTGTGACTGGGAAGAATCCCTATTGGCTTCCTTGCTGCATGACACCCCTATGTCTAACAAAAAGTATAAAAACTTCTTGCTGAAAACAGCTGCTAAGGAGTGTATCCAGGTGCTGTAGAAGAGCCCAGATCCCCCCACTAGATCCCATTGGCTTTCTAGAATCCAGGACATCCAATTGGTGGAGGAACTTACTATGACCATGAAAGAACAGGGTGATAATTATGGGAAGATCTGGTCCCCCTATTTCTTCTACAAGGTTCAGTCGCCTCTAGCAAACACAACAGCAACAGAGCCTCCAGATTCCTAAACAACTATCATTTATTTTATTATTTTTTTTGTTTGTCAGTTCTTTTGGGTTGTCAGGCAGGAAGAAGAATTCTATCCTCCTTCCACTTCCTTTCTCCCCTGAAACGCCCCCCTCCCCCAATTTTTTTTATTTTTTTTATTTTTATCTTTTAGGTGCCCCCTTAGCCCATCTGTGTCACAATCTCTTTTCTTAAAAAATCTGGAAAAATCGGGTATCGATAATGCTATGGAAATGCAATTTGTGTATTTTTTTTTTTTATTTTTTTTTTTTTTTTTTTTTTTGCTGCCTCTTGTAAATTCGGTCAGTATGGGCTTGTGATATGACAGCATGGTGCCATACATGTATCATTGGGATGTTTTGTTCTATTTAACACTTTGTTATATATGACACTTTTCATGATTTTGTGACCGGCATGGTAATGTGGCTTTGTTGATTCCTTTCAATAAATAAAGAATTAAATTCTTTTTAACCGGTTGCCTACCACCAGGGCTGCACAAAATCGTGTGTGTGTGTGTGTGTGTGTGTGTGTATATATATATATGTATGTATGTATATATTTTATATATATTTACAGTGGGGCAAAAAAGTATTTAGTCAGCCACCAATTGTGCAAGTTCTCCCACTTTAAAAGATGAGAGAGGCCTGTAATTGGCAACATAGGTAGACCTCAACTATGAGAGACAAAACGAGAAAAGAAATCCAGACAATCACATTGGCTGATTTGGAAAGAATTTATTTGCAAATTATGGTGGAAAATAAGTATTTGGTCAATATCAAAAGTTCATCTCAATACTTTGCTATATATCCTTTGTTGGCAATGACAGAGGTCAAACGTTTCCTGTAAGTCTTCACAAGGTTGGCACACACTGTTGCTGGTATGTTGGCCCATTCCTCCATGCAGATCTCCTCTAGAGCAGTGATGTTTTGGGGCTGTCGCTGGGCAACACGGACTTTCAACTCCCTCCAAAGGTTTTCTATGGGGTTGAGATCTGGAGACTGGCTAGGCCACTCCAGGACCTTGAAATGCTTCTTACGAAGCCACTCCTTCGTTGCCCGGGCGGTATGTTTGGGATCATTGTCATGTTGGAAGACCCAGCCACGTTTCATCTTCAATGCCCTTGCTGATGGAAGGAGGTTTGCACTCAAAATTTCACGATACATGGCCCCATTCATTCTGTCCTGTACATGGATCAGTCATCCTGGTCCCTTTGCAGAGAAACAGCCCCAAAGCATGATGTTGCCACCCCCATGCTTCACAGTAGGTATGGTGTTCTTTGGATGCAACTCAGCATTCTCTCTCCTCCAAACACGACAAGTTGTGTTTCTACCAAACAGTTCTATTTTGGTTTCATCTGACCATATGACATTCTCCCAATCCTCTTCTGGATCATCCAAATGCTCTCTAGCAAACTTCAGAGGGGCCCGGACATGTACTGGCTTAAGCAGGGGGACACGTCTGGCACTGCAGGATCTGAGTCCCTGGCGGCGTAGTGTGTTACTGATGGTACCCTTTGTTACATTGGTCCCAGCTCTCTGCAGGTCATTCACTAGGTCCCCCCGTGTGGTCCTGGGATTTTTGCTCACCGTTCTTGTAATCATTTTGACCCCACGGGGTGAGATCTTGCGTGGAGCCCCAGATCGAGGGAGATTATCAGTGGTCTTGTATGTCTTCCATTTTCTAATTATTGCTCCCACAGTTGATTTGTTCACACCAAGCTGCTTGCCTATTGCAGATTCAGTCTTCCCAGCCTGGTGCAGGTCTATAATTTTTGTTTCTGGTGTCCTTCGACCGCTCTTTGGTCTTCACCATAGTGGAGTTTGGAGTGTGACTGTTTGAGGTTGTGGACAGGTGTCTTTTATACTGATAACAAGTTCAAACAGGTGCCACTGATACAGGTAACGAGTGCAGGACAGACCTCTTAAAGAAGAAGGTACAGGTCTGTGAGAGCCAGAAATCTTGCTTGTTTGTAGGTGACCAAATACTTATTTTCCACCATAATTTGCAAATAAATTCTTTCCAAATCAGCCAATGTGATTGTGTGGATTTTTTTCTCATTTTGTCTCTCATAGTTGAGGTCTACCTATGATGCCAATTACAGGCCTCTCTCATCTTTTTAAGTGGGAGAACTTGCACAATTGGTGGCTGACTAAATACTTTTTTGCCCCACTGTGTGTGTGTGTGTGTGTGTATATGTGTGTGTGTGTATGTATATATATATATATATATATATATATATATATATATATATATATATATATATATATATATATATATATATATATATATATATATATATATATATATATATATATATATATATATATATATATATATATATATATATATATATACACATATATATATATATATATACATATATATATATATATATATATATATATATATACACACAGTGAGGAACAGAAGTATTTGAACACCCTGCGATTTTGCAAGCTCTCCCACTTAGAAATCATGGAAGGGTCTGAAATTCACATTGTAGGTGCATTCCCACTCTGAGAGACAGAATTTTTAAAAAAAATTCAGGAAATCACATTGTATGATTTTTAAAGAATTTATTTGTCTTGCACTGCTGAACATAAGTATTTGAACACCTAAGAAACAGCAAGAATTCTGGTTCTCAAAGACCTGTTTCTGTGCCTTTTTAAAAAGTCCACCTCTACTCCACTCATTAATCTAACTTTGTAGCACCTGTCTGAACTTTTTAAAGACACCTGTCCACCCCACAGTCAGTCAGACGCCAACTACTACCACAGGCAAGACCAAAGAGCTGTCAAAAGACACCTGTGACAAAATTGTGGACCTCCACAAGGCTGGAAAGGGCTACGGGGCAATTCCCAAGCAGCTTGGTGAAAATAGATCAACTGTTGGAGCAATTGTTAGAAAATGGAAGAGGCTAAAGACGACTGTCAGTCTCCCTCGGACTGGGGCTCCATGCAAGATCTCACCTCGTGGGGTATCACTGATGATAAGAAAGGTGAGGAATCAGCCCAGAACTACAAGGGAGGAGCTGGTCAATGACATGAAGAGAGCTGAGACCACAGTTTCAAAGGTCACTGTCGGTAGAACACTACGCTGTCATGGTTTCAAATCATGCATTGCCCGGAAGGTTCCCCTGCTCAAGTCATCACATGTCCAGGCCCGTCTGAAGTTTGCCAATGACCATCTGGATGATCCAGAGGAGGCATGGGAGAAAGTCATGTGGTCAGATGAGACCAAAGTAGAACTTTTTGGTCTAAACTTCACTCGTCGTGTTTGGAGGAAAAAGGATGAGTTGCATCCCAAGAACATTATCCTTGCTGTGAAGCATGGGGGTGGTAACATGCTTTGGGGGTGCTTTTCTGCGAAGGGGACAGGACGACTGCACAGTATTAAGGAGAGGATGAATGGGGCCATTTATTGTGAGATTTTGAGCAACAACCTCCTTCCCTCAGTCAGAGCATCGAAGATGGGTCGTGGCTGGGTCTTCCAACATGACAACAACAACCTGAAGCACACAGCCAGGATAACCAAGGAGTGGATCCGTATGAAGCATATCAAGATTCTGGAGTGGCCTAGCCAGTCTCCAGACCTAAATCCAATAGAACATCTTTGGAGGGAGCTGAAACTCCGTGTTGCTCAGCGACAGCCCCGAAACCTGACAGATCTGGAGGAGATCTGTGTGGAGGAGTGGGCCAAAATCCCTGTTGCAGTGTGTGCAAACCTGGTCAAGAACTACAGGAAACGTTTGACCTCTGTAATTGCAAACAAAGGCTTCTGTACCAAATATTAACACTGATTTTCTCAGGTGTTCAAATACTTATGTTCAGCAGTGCAAGACAAATAAATTCTTTAAAAATCATACAATGTGATTTCCTGAATTTTTTTTTAAAATTCTGTCTGAGTGGGAATGCACCTACAATGTGAATTTCAGACCCCTCCAATATTTAAGTGTGAGAACTTGCAAAATCGCAGGGTGTTCAAATACTTCTGTTCCTCACTGTACACGCACATGTACACGTGATTTGCATGTCCGGGTAGGGGGCGCACTATGGATGTCAGTCACCGGGTCCCAGCCGGAGAGTCGCCGCCAGCACCCAGCGGGTAACACTGACAAGGGAGAGACCTGTGTGTAAACAGCACAGGTCTCTCTCCTGCCAGCAAGAACATGCTGCTGTGTATTTCTCGGCACAGCAGAGAAATGCACAGCAGCATGTTTCCCTAGTTTAAACACACAGTACA